CTGACAGGGGTCAATTCAGTATATATATGGTGTGAGAGCACCCCAATTCTCTTTTGTATGATCTATATAGTTCAATGAACTTTCCATTACCCAATTACATGCTCGTACGCGCTCTACGGTCCGTCACATCAACCAAATGGAGTCGAAAACATGGCTGAACAAACGTTTTCAAAGTCTGGTTGATGTAATGACGCCAAAAATTGCCACAACTTTGTTAGACAAGGGAAGCTCTGGGAAAATCGATCTGGCCACAGCAGAGAATCACTTGCTACGCAAAGAGATTCTTGAAGTGTACAGAGCAGCAATCAGGAATAACCTCAGCGTCGAAGTAAGTTGCCCGGCCACGAAGAAGAGTCACCGGAGAAATATACTAAAAGACCTAACAGTTCCTCTCTTACCCTACCCAGCTAGGCGGCGAGAAAAGTCTCCTGGAAGCATGTGCGAGCTTTTTCAACCAATACTTTCAACCGCATCGGGCGGTGCTTCCAGAGCATATCGTAGCTGGCCCAGGTGCAACAGCTTGCTTAACATCACTTTTGTGTTCAATCTGTGAACCGCGCGACGTAGTGCTGGTGCCAGGATCTTATTGGAGTAAGTGACGAAGACCCCCAATCTCCTGAGTCTTCTTTTCAGCTGTTCATATCTCTCTGGGTTAGGCGGCTTCGATTTACATCTCAAGCTTTTGCCGGACGTGGAGTTATTGAATACAGGGCTTGATGACCCAGCGCAGGATGAACTTGGGCCGACTATGGTTTCGGCCCTTGCCGCAACAGCTGCAACCTTGAAAGAGAAGCAGAAACGTCTGAAAGCACTGATTCTTACAAACCCTCATAATCCAACAGGACGATGTTATTCTACTGATGTTCTCAAGTCGATGGCTGAATTCTGTCAGGATCACAACATTCATTTAATCGTCGACGAGATATATGCTATGAGCCGATGTCGTGAGGCTCATATAAATATTCAGGGGTTCAAATCGTTTTTATCCATTGATTTACAGTCAATCGGCGTAGACCTTGCTCGAGTGCACATCATCTGGGGCACAAGCAAGGACTTTGGAAGTAGCGGGATACGCATGGTATGGCTTCCTCTTGAGAATACATCCGGAGACAGGCTGATCCAAAGCAGGGCTGTATTGTGTCACAGGATAACCCATCATTACGTTTGAGCGTTGGCATGATCACTACAACACAAATATCTGCTGTCACATCCATTGCCACTGCTGGCTTACTAAATTCGTCAGACTTACCGCGTCTTATGCAACTGAATACCGTTTGTTTGACAACGGCGTATTATCAAGTATCTGGATGGTTGGAGGCGCACCACATGCCTTACATTCCAGCAGTGAACGGAGTATACATACTCGCGCGTCTGGCCCCTGCAGCCAGAACATGGCAGGACGAGGAGTATCTAGTGAAATCACTGAACGATGCTGGCGTGTCCGTTCTTCCTGGTCGATCTTTCCACCTAAGAGAGCCAGGCTGGGTCCGGATCACCATTACTGTTCCGCCTGCCCTTCTCACTGAAGCCTTGTCGCGGATGGAAAGGGTCCTGCAATCAAAACCAATAATTACGGACCTTCAAGGAGCGCGGGGACAGGATATCACAAAAGTGGCAGATCTTAGCGTTTCAACGGAACCCGAGGTCCACAAAACGCGTCTAAAGGTTGTTAAGCGCAAGCTCAGTGACGAGATGCCTCAAAGTGCACGAAAGAAAAAGTTGAGGCTTTCAGAGACATGAATGGATGCTCGTGGGTTATGTTTATAAGGTGAAAGACGAATGTCAATGTGATGGGAGATCCCTTTCTACGAACAACTTGCATTTCCGGGCTCGTGTCCGTACTTCGGGCCTCGTTTCATTACCGCCTCGAAAGCTGGCCGAACCATGAGTCGTTCGCCCCATGCCTTGATCTGAGGATATCTGTCTATGTCGACCTCGAGAAATCTAAACATCCATGGCATCGCAAAAGGGAAATATGAGATGTCGGCGATTGTTGGTCGATCGGGAAGAGCGATGTAACTTTGACCAGGAAGCGACAAGCGTTGTTCCAAAATATCCCATTGTTTTACTGTATTGGAATGCAGTCTTCCCATATCTAGGTCAGCAGAGAAATGAGAGCGCTCAAGGAAGGATTACTTTGCAACTGTCTTCGGTAGTAATTCTGGGTTCTGGCGGTTCGGATAGCCTTTAAGAAAGTATAGCCAGTATTTGGCTGTTGCACTATGTGAAGCATATAGATGAGGGAGAGCGCTACACCAAGAAGAGTGTAGAACATATTCTTACCCGATGCCAGCTGTTTGGTACGCCGTCCAAGAAAATACGTCTGCTTTTTCACGTGCCGTGCGCCCTTGCCAGTCTCCCGAATGATCAAAACGATCGGCCAAGTATTGTAAACAAGCAGTGCCTTCGAACACAATTATCTTTTCCTTGGTCACTGGATCTTCGTCTTTGAGCGCCGGGACATAACGCTCGGGGTGTATTTGGTAGAACCACTCATCCTTTGTGTCTATGACAGCTAACAAATGTGGAAATTGTAACTCCTGGGCCAGAATCAGTGGTTTTATATAATTGATATAATTGGTGTGATCAGCTATCTGCTTTGTGAGTGATCGGTCCAGACATGGCAGTATGGACATGGGAGATTTTTCATACCTTTCAGAATGTAGAGGATCACGCGACCGTCATACTGGGTGTCTCCAAACACTACCTCTCCGTTGGCCTTCATTTTGCATGGAAAAAAGAAAGGTTGGTGTAGAGTTGCTCCCTTCTAAATGGCGAATGTACGAAAGCATTTATGATTTCCCTAATTACCCACTTATATAAAGGCTCCATTGCTCGACGCTATTCGGGCACCGACTCGTCAAAGTCGCCCAATCACTGTTTCATAGAGCCACATGTGAAGTGAATAATGCTGCTCGAAATGACAAAATCTGGCGGGTTTCATTTCAAAGTAGATTCAAATCATATTCAATTAATTTAAAGCGGATTTGCAGGTTTCTAGCTGCCACATGAAGTTGGGTAGTTACGTGAATTCAATCTAGGCGGCTTGTATTGGTCATATTTCACCAAATCCCTTGCTTCTCATCTTCAGCCCATTTCGCCAATTTGCCTTCCAGCTTCCACCTTCGAATGCGGACGACAGCATCATTACACATGTTCTTTGCCAAAGTCCGATAATTCGTTATGATAGCCTGAGCTTGATCACTGCCAGGCGCCGGTGACTCGTCTCCCATCTTAAGTTCGTAGAATACGGTCAATAATGGTTCCGCCTCCTCTTGAGTAAGCTCTGTTGCTGCTCCATATGAGACGATTAGCGTGCTCTTAGCTCCACTCCCGCGCGTTGTAGCCTCGATCTAGTCAAAACATCCCAGTCAGCTGCAACATATGGGCAATGCGATGAAGATATACATACGTAGAGACCGTCTTGAATGAAAACATCCTGAATAATCTTGGTTCCATCTGCAGTATGCACAGCGCCATCACCAATCACGATTTCTCGCACGAATTGATGACGATGGCCAGAGGTGACCTCGCAACTCTTGACAAAGTCCCCAAAGTCGCCTGGGTATCTGCCACCTCTTTTGATACCCTGAAACAACTCTGCGTGCGAGAGACGCTCTTGTAGCTTGGCACTTTCGTTGGCTGCCACTGTATAGGCGACATTGTAACAAAATTCTTTGGCCATCCTGCTTAGGCAAGATCACGAATATTCTGTTTAGACTAGGAAGTACCATACGGCCCCCCGGATGTGCCTACTACATGATTCAGGTCTGGTGCCTGATTGATATGCATGGTGCGGGCGCACCTTGATAGCCTATCGGGCTAGGACATTACCGGGCCCCTTATCCAGGCTTTGAGTGGCTCGAGAGTGGGTTCCGTGTTCATTAAGGTGCAAACATATGGCTTATTACATTGACGATTCGCTTTCGGTGCCCTTCCGATGATTTTCATGCTATATTAGTAGGACAAGACCCCTATAACTAACCTAACACGTTTTGTAACCAATCACATCTTCGCGATTACCACCCGCAACACCAAGGCCGTGTCCGAACGGTCTTTGCGCCATGTCTCGTATTTGGGAAGCTACAGATAGAATCAAATTCAATGGCAATGAAACACTTTGGATTTCTGGAACTGTGGCCGCTCTGACCGCAGTCTTTCTCCTCATTCGAGCATCATTTCGACGACAGCAACGGGCCGATCTTCCTGTCTTTCTCGCAGAACAAAATGTAGTGAAGACTCTAGAGGAAGCTCATAAACAAGTAAGTACTTGCTTGCTTTATATGTATTGATTCTAATTGTTCGTAGTGTCCGCAATCTCCATTCGTTCTTTCCATGGCGGGAATGGAGGTTGTTGTACTCCCGGTCGAGGAAATAGAGCATATCAAATCGTTACCCGAAACAGAACTCTCTATCAAGTAAGTAATTCTGCACTAGATCGTCAATCTATCTGAGCTGACAATCAAAAGACGTCATCACTATAATGTGTTCCTCGGCGAATACACATACATGGGTACTAAGGCTGATGAGTTCGACTCGGCTATGCGACATATCCTGACACGCAACACTCCAGTCGTCTTGGAGTCATTTACAGCAGAGGTCAGCTATGCAATGAAGACTTGCATCGGCGAGTGTGAAGGAAATTGGAAACCAATTCGAGTTCGAGCTGCGATGTCGCGAGTCGCTTCCCTCTTGTCTGGACGGGCTTTTGTCGGCCTTCCACTCAGCCGTGATCCCGAATGGGTCGAAGCCACGACAAACTACACGCAAGACGTTTCAAAAGCTTGGATGGCTCTCAAGATGCTCCCATGGTATAAAAGAGCACTCATGGCCTGGTCACTGCCACAAGTTCAGTCTCTGAAACGACAAAAACAAATCAATGTAGAGAAGCTAGGTCCTCTGCTCGAGAAAAAGAGGGCAGAGGATGGAAACGAGAAGTCAGCACATTCAGAATCACCTGGGGGTGATATGATAGATTGGTTCATGTCTCGATACAACAAACCGGCGACCGCTCGGCAGCTTGCCAGAGACCAGCTGCTCGCCACGTTTGCATCCATTTACAATCTCTCTAACGCATTGTCTTATATTGTCTTTGACCTCGCAGCCAACCCAGACTGTATTGAAGAGTTGCGCCAAGAGATAACAAGCGTCGTTGGGCCGAAAGGAGTTATCGACAAAGTCGCCCTCCCCAAGCTCCGAAAGCTTGACAGCTTTGCGAAAGAATCTCAACGACTTAACCCTCCATCTCTTGGTATGGACCACCGCACGACTTCAAAGACCTAGATTGGGCCCAGGAATTATTATTGACTGACATCTTGATCTTTAGTCAACATACCGCGCGTAGTAACTAATTCTCGGGGATTTCGAACTCTGAGCGGCCATACCATTCCTTTCGGGTACACTGTTATGGTGCGAGCACATCCAATTAACATGTCCCCGGCTTTGTACCCCTCGCCGGAGACATTCAATCCGTTTCGCTTCTCCAAGCTTCGCCAGCACCCGGGAAACGAGATGAAGTATCAACACAGCAGCACCGGCGTTGATAACATCAATTTTGGCCACGGGATCTGGGCGTGTCCAGGCAGGTTCTTTGCAGCGGCTCAGATCAAAGTCGTGATGGCTTATTTGATCATGAACTATGATCTGATGGTTAAACCTGGAGAGAAGAAGCCAGGACAAATACACTATGGACTTGCTACACTGCCAGATGCAGAAGCAGATATTCTATTTAGGAAGCGGCAACCTATACCAAAGTAGTATAGACTGTTGTGATCTGGAATAGATAAATAAGATGGATTTATTCTTTCACGAACATGGATTCGTGTCTCAGATGGATATATTCAGATTCAGATATGTGCCGAAAGGCAATTGAAAGCTGCAGACTATATGTATCACAGTGCCTCGAATTTGATATAGACAGACTAGTCAATTGGAACAAAATTGAATTACTCTAATAGTGTCTAATGGCTCGGGCGAAATTCGATGGCGCTCACCCATGCATTTCTCAATGGGTAGATCTGGGAGACGGCCCAGCCAGAACTTTCCGCTAAAAATCGCCACTCCTTCTCGCTGCGCTCTTGACCCTTGGCTGTCATCATCATGTTGATGTCTCCGTATCGCGATAGCCTCCCCATCGCTCCGTCTGCTCTCACAGACTCGAGAACAATCAGGCGCGACTTTTCCCCTCCGAGAATTGCTCGGCGAATATTACACAGTACTTTGATGGCGTCCGCATCGTTCCAGTCATGAAGACACCACTTCATCGTGTAGACGTGATATGCGGGCACTTCCTCAAGAAAATTGCCAGCAATCAGGTTCTCGGATGGGACGCGATTGCAGACATCCTCATACATGCCCCCTGGATTGAAGAATGGCCGGATGTGTTCAATCACCTTGATGAGGTCAAAGACGCCACCGCGCATCGTGTCATGATTCCTCAGGAGTGCGGCTATCAGTGCTCCGCCTCCGCCTCCAATGTCAATCACAGTCTGGTCTGCGATCTCGTGCCAGGGATAGTCGGCAAGAATACCAGGTGCCTGTGCAGTTGCTCCTCCTCCAAGTGTGCGATGCAGCCGCGGTACCCAGCCTTGCTTCTGGAAGTATGTGAACATGTCATCGTCCGTATCATAGTTGTGTTGCGCAGCACTTCGTTTCGTGTCTGCTTTGAGCGAGGCCGGAATGCCGCGAGCAATGTCGTAAAACTCGTTCCCGTAGAGATCGACCCAGTTGCGCCACTGAGTCCAATGATCCGACGTCAGCATTTCGGAAGCCGCATTATTGGAGAACACATTCGACTGGTGGTCATATTGGAAAATGCCATTGTTATACAGAGCGCGCATCACTTGCGCAGTCCTATCTGGGCGAGCTTGCACAGTGGCTGCTAGCTGATCAATGGTGAGAGGTTGCTTTTTCAATGCGTCCGGAATGCCGAGCTCGACGGCAGCGACAAGGCACTTGGCGTTCATGTAGCCGAAGAAGTGGTCTGCCAGAGTCAAATGGCTTGGCTCCAGTCTCCTCTGGATATCGTGCAACAAGTCGACAGCATCTGCCGCAAGCCCGACAAGCTCTTTGTGAGGGAGCTGACCCTCCTTGGTGCCGTACAGGTTCTCGGCTACAGTAGTACTGATGCTGCTTGCGGATAGCTGTTCTTTGGAGAAGCGCAGTTGCTGGATCAAGTTACACAAGACCCAGCGTGTGGCGGCGTTGGGGGCATCGCTGTGGTTGACGAGAGTCGACTTCTCGTCTAAAGCTTCTCCGTGTGGTGAGGCCATTATCTGTTTCTTCTTCGTTTCTTTTTTTTTTTTCCGCTAGCTGCGTTGGAGCAGTGTTTCAATCTCGGATCTTAGATCTAAGATCTAAGATCAACTCAACTCAACTACTTGATTGCTGTGGCACCGAGTTCCTGAGTTTGACAACCACTCGACACGCCAGCACAACTTTGGAACTAACCCCACTGCTGTGTCAGCGGTAATCAAGTAATCAACGCGGATACACCAGGTTTCTGTCTATTTAGGTACTCGGTAATGATTATCTGCCTACTATGTGGGTAAGCAACATTGTACTTACTGACAACGACTCGTGGTAAGAATGGTAAGACCAGACCAGGCTGGGAGACAAATGCAATCATATGTTAAGTTAATTAGCTTAAACTATCTACATTAGAAACTCATTAACTGCTGCACAGCTCCAGCCAGAGGTGGCTTGCATGTCAAGATGTGGCGGATCCGTTCATCAGACGACGGAGGATTTCATACTCGGTTCTGCTGCATCAGCAAGATGCAGCTTCCAACTCGTCAGCAGTGCCATTTCGGCAATGAATCATCCCTTCTCTTTCCCTGATGAGTATTTTCGGTCCGCCAGTGCCAGCCGGACTAAGCCTGAGCGAGGCCCAAACTCGAGTGAGGTAGAGATACCACCTTGTTATTCTGAAGTGGGCCGGGAGCCCGGCTTAATTACGGCTGCCGATGCTTAGCGGACCGCTCGGCACCCTTGTCAGTCAACATCTTTCTTTGCGGCTCCGTCCACACAGGTCCAATGTGGTCACACAGCTGTCTTGCTCCGATATGACGCTGTTCGGCAGCATACCTCTCGACTTCGCCAAGTACACGGAGCACATTCTCCCCGAGGATCAGCCGCACATCTGGCTCTGATACCCCTCGGAGAAGGAGCTCAGCTACCAGCATTGGGTAGGCCGAGACATCATCTAAATCCACTGGCCCTTGAAGCATTCCGTCAAAGTCAGAGCCAATCCCCACATGTTCATACCCAATCATAGTCCCGGCGTATATGATATGCTCAGCTATTGTGGCGACTGATGCTTCACGAGCTTCGCGGCCCGTTATTTCATTGGCATCAAGCCCACACAGGGAAGGCAAGAAGCAAATCATGATTATGCCGCCATTGTCCCGCAATGCCCCAAGAACATCGTCCGGGGCATTGCGACTATGCTTACGAAGCCCGAAGCTTGAATTGTGTCAACGAGTCCTTGATCCGTACAGAGAAGTAACGTCTTACCAAGAAGAATGTGAGAAGATGACTGGTGCTTTTGCGATCCTCAAGACCTGCCGTTGGGCTTCATGACTTGTATGTGAGAGGTCTACCATGCTGGATGATATGATAAGCGCTCTTCGCCGCCCGAAAACATACGAGAAAGAAAACTCACATCCCCAGACGTTGCATCTCTTGAACAACATCCTTCCCTGCCGGAGATAGGCCCAGATGCCGAGGAGACAAATCTGTCTGCAGATTCGTCAGTGATGCTAAGCTGCAGTCAGGTCTCTTGATGACAAAAGAATATACCGCAGAGTCCACATATTGGTTGTTACGGTCATGACAGAGCGTGATGTATCGCACACCCAGACGATAAAGCTGGCGTAGTACGCTGGCACTCCCACACATCTGATGCAGTCCTTCTATGCCAATCAGACTTGCAATACGGCCAGATTTATACACATCTCGAACCGAACGAGCACTGTCTGCAAACCCCAATACTGTAGGAGAGGCCTCAATAAGTTGGTGGATGATATCAATCTGCTGTAGAGTGTCATAGAGAACTTTCAAATCAGGTGTCCCATTCGGAATATTAGTACTGTCGGCCGTGAGCAAGGGCATGCCATTAGCATATTCATGGATTCAAATTCTAAAAGTTGCTGGCGGTAGCACATACTCGGGAACGAAGGCAGACCAGAATTGACCCCCAACCAATCCCTTTCGTAGACGCGTCAGGTCTGTCTGCCCAACACTCATTTGTGTTACGTTGAAGGATGGGCTATTGAGATCATTGCCATACCAACCGCGCAACATATAGGGGAAATCATTGTGCCCGTCTTGACTCACATGGTAAGTGCTTGTCTGTCGCAGGAGAGATTGGCGATACTCACCAATCAAAGGGGTTTCGCTAAGCAGTCGTTGCGCACTTTGCAGATGGCCTTCCCCCATGCTGAAAATGCAAAGATGGCTTTTGCGTGGCCTCGCAACTCACAAGTAATGTTAACAAGGCCAGGCCTGAGACTTAACCCAGTTCAATCAACTAACCCAGGTACCTTGTTTTCAGCCAATGTCATAGTGTGTAATGCAGGCCGTAACTAGGTAACGGGGTACGTGATAGTTTTGACATTACCAGATCTACTTATTTATCAACAGCTATTGTTCTGGCACAAGGATTCACAAGACAGATACCAACTGATGCATATTTCTTCTAAAGATAGGATTTGTATGAGCTAATTAATGACTGTCATGTCTTTCATGGTTCTGGGCGTTCCTCCAAGCTTCCCGTGAGCTTGACGGTCCACCCCGACTACGAGAAAGGAAGCTCGAGCTCAAGGATTCCGCATAATCAAGTGGGGGTGAAGCTGCCAAATCATGATTTGTGACTTGTACCATAGTATGCGTTGATGAGGATGGGAGTCTAGTCTGACCGGTGACACCTTGATGGCAGGGAGAAACCTTGATGGGCCAAGTACCCGACTAAGGCTCGAGGCGAGTTCATTTTATTTGGAAATGGCTTTGCGACGTTCTGCTTAGGGATTTCACGTCCTGCAACCAAGCAGCTGTAGTCTGGAAACCAAAATGAAGGATTCGTGGTAGCGTAACTGAATTGAATTTAGACTGATGGTCGACTCGACAGGGTAAATTTAGGATGCACCTATAGGGCGACTGATGAGAAGCGCTTCGCGCGGCTACTACACGGTCTCCAAATCTAAATAGAAAGTCAAGTATTGCAACAATGGAGAGTTCCTAGATGCCGTGATCAGCTGGTGGTCATGGCGGCTCAGGCTGCTCCAAGATTACGCTCTGCTTGTACTGAGTGCCACGCATCCAAGGTCGGATGTTTAACCATTTCCCTTCAGAACTCTGGACACTGACAGGACCAATGTTATAGGTCAAATGTAGTGGCGAGAAAACCGGTTGCGTTCGATGTCGCAATCTTGGGCTCAAGTGTCATTTCGGCATATCAATGGTCGGCAAGTGCTCTCCCGTCAGGAGACGCCGACGGCCGAGATCCAACCTATCTGAGCACAATCAAGATCACGAGCCACAACAGAAGGGTGTCGGCCCAGTCCCTACTCTATCCTCCAGTTCTGTAGGGTTGTCACGATCAGAAGCTGCCCCGCTGCTGGACTGGACAGAGCAGAGCCCCCTCCAGCTAGCAAACACTCAATCACCCGCACTCTCGGCTCATGACTTCTCACACGATTCGATGCTGCTGCAGGGGCCGCTTACTGACGAGCTGGAGGCCTTTATCTCGTCGTGTATTGACCAATCTGAGTCTTTGTTTGGCCTTGATGATTTGGAGACAGATCACAGCCAGATAGAAGCCCTGGGAGGCGACACATCGACGGCAGTTCAACAGTCATCTCCGCAATACTCGCCAAAAGAAAGACATCAGGATCAAAGTAGCATACCGGAAAAGTGCGCAGAGAGTCTGCAAGGATGTCTCCGGATGATAACACGCCTGGAAGAACAGCTTCATCACCGCGTTCCTTCAGTCGACGAAGTCATGCAGATTAGCAAAAGTTGCGCAGAAGAACTGGCCATTTCGATCCAATTAGACTGGTTCTGTCGAGGCACAGCCGGGCCTATGCTTGTTCTAACTGCAGCGGAGCAGATTACTCTGCTATTCGAATCCAGCGTTCTGGCGTTTATGCCTGAAATCGACAGGGTTTCGCATGGCGAGAAGGAAGCAACATCAGCCGGCAACACCAGTTGCCAAAGCAAGTCACCACCCGCTAGATATCCCAGTCTTACCCTAGGTAACTTCCAAGCTGATCCGGAGGAAGCAAGTCTCATATGGCAGCATGTCTTCTCAGGCGAGCTGCGGCGATTCTTGCAGTTGATTGAGATCATACGCGACAAGCCCGTCTTGAGCACTGACCGTAGATCACAGAGTACCTCTCGTCAGAGACTGTGTGATGGCCTAAAGCAGCGCATCAAATCCATGTTGATGTCAATAAGAGACTTGCGCGGAAGGGATGACGTAGACATGTATTGATGAGAGGCGCACAATTGGGAATGCACCTCGTAGTGACGCAGATGGTATTTATCTCGGGATGTTATGTACCTTGAAAAGTCGTTGATATTGCCTCTATACGCAGGCACATGATCTAGTCTCTAGGCATATCACATATTTACACAGCCTTCTTTACGCACCGTAGCAGAAAATCAGGGTGCGTTATCCAGCTCTCCTGGTTGCGGCTCCAATCCTCCTTCTTCTGCCAGCCGAGCTCGTAGTTCAGTACCAGATGTGCCATAGTCTGCCGAATGATAAGATCTGCAACATACTTGCCCATGCACTGCCGCGGGCCGAACCCGAACCGCCAAAAGCGGTATCGCAGGTCCGTGTTGCGACGACCCAGAAACCTATCGGGTCTATATGCAGCGTTGTCCGGGGCCCACGTATCGCTCTGGATATTCAGAGCATAGGCATCAACAACGTAATTGGTGCCTCTGGGAATAATGTAACCATCTACTTCGCGATCGGACGGTGCCGCTTGAGGCACACTGAAGGCGGCGAGGGGTTTCAGTCGACTGGACTCGAGCACACACGCTGCAAGATATGTGCTCTCACTCAGCAGATAAGAGTGCAATCGATTTTCCTGCACGGCGGTTTGTACCTCGGAACACACTCGCTTCTGGACATCTGGGTGAGCGGCTAAGAAGACAAAATTCCACGATAGACCACCAGTGGTGACGTCGAGGTTCGCATACATAGACTCGTCGAGCGTCTGCAGCAATTCATCCTTTGTCATGTCCCCGCGCATTGTGGCCTCGTATAGCTGGACAATAGGAGCAGATGGACTTTGCTCCAGGGCGTGGGCCCAGGCCGCATTGTTGAAGGCACTCCACCGACTTTGAAATTCTCGTAGCTCGGCATTGGCTTGGGTAGGAAGCCATTGGGACAAGGAAAAGCGCATTATCCCACCCTGGATGACATATCGGAATATGCGCTCTCGCAGCGGGGCAAGATCACTGAGCTCCTGAAGTAACGGCGTGGGCAACCGACCATAGAATATCTCGCATACCACCCAGAATGGGAGCATCTTCATGTCATCTGCGGGATGCAGCAACTGCCTGTCAAGATTACCCGCGGCGTGCAATCTCTGGAAGTGTTCGTTGATATGCCGCTGGAATTGCGCAACTCTTTTCGATGTTGATTGGTGCCCAAAAGGTATCTCTGCGATTGATCTCACGCGCCGCCAGTCATTCCCGCTGATCAGTCCCACACAGTGCCCCAGCAAGCGGTTCATGTACTCCCCAGAGTTATTGGCGGTAGCTTTTATGTGCTTGTTCGAGTCTCGGAAGACTACCGAGAGCTGGTGCGGCTGTGTGAGCACACTACCGGACTGTTAGCAACATGAACGCACCTCAAGAGGAAAGGGGTAGGTCACATCTCGGGCTTCGTGCCTGACCAGATGCGGTAAATGTTGCCATATTTCTTTTTCCATTCGGCAGAGTTAGCAACCCCGTTCAAGAATTTTGCCGCATCTCCCTGGCCATTTGGCCAGCGGTATGGACAACTCGGCAAGTAATGACTCCCATCACGGTGTCTGATTGGCAATGTGTAGTGGAGGTAATGCTGTTTACCAAATTAGTCAGACAAATCATAATCCCTCTGCTACTTCTAGGACGCGTACATCGATGACAAACGAAAGAGTATCGACAATCTCTTTAGGTAGGCAGCTTGGACCGAGATGTTTTTCTACGAGGGCGAGGAGAAAGATGAATGACGTGAAAGCAAGCAGGTAGAGTGCGAAGGAGATGAAATTCATGACTAGTAGCTTTGTACACTTTGTCGATGAGTTCTGATACCAATGTGAAGTCTTGTCTTCAAGAGCTCTGATCAATTGGGAACAGCTGGGGAGTAGCTAATGCACAATAATTACCGTTTATGACGGTTCAGCCATGACAACATCTTACTAGTCTTCCAAGTGGAATTCTGACAAATGCTATACGCCGATCATCTCAGGCCAAGTGGATCAAACGATATCAGTGAATTTAACGGAATTGGCCAAGTTGTACGGACTCCGAACAGAAGAAGAATAAGTGAAATTCACAACGATTCACTGAACTGTAGTTGGTAATACAAAAAAGCGCCCTGGCAGATTGAAGATTCTGAAAGCAGAGGCCATCATAGTTAGGTTCAATAATGGGCCACCTTTTCGTCTTGATCGGCAGTCAGCATTGAAGCAACGTGGTCTCATGTTACGACAAAGAGCTTGCCAAAGGTTGACCTAGGAAGCAAGCTAAAGTGACGTTCTGAAGGGTCTCGTGGTAAGGCTACCGACACTGAGAAATGTCTTGCGTCAAATGAGCTGTTCAGCCCTATTATCCACCTATAGTTACTCTTACTGGTCGTCATGATCGATCTAGGTCATGATTTTCTTCATTGTAGTCTGGACGAGAGGGAGAGCTTGAAATTTTACTAATAGTGAACTTAAGCTATTGCAGTGAGATTATAGTGAGATTACGGGCCGAAGCTTTTGGCTTTTCAATCAGGTAATCCTAACCCTGTCGCTACAGCATTACCTGCCTGACGTACCGACGTTGATTCACTAGTGATATGATGGTCATTCAGCCATACATCTCTGAGGTGAGTGCTGCGCTGACGCCACCCGCGCAAAATGCGCCTGTGGCCATGGCTTGCACGACCGCTTTCATCTGCGTAGCACAGTCTCCAGCGGCAAATACTCCTGGAACACTGGTTGAGTACATGGGTTCTGTTACCTTGATATCTCCAGTCGCGGTCAGTTCCAATCCCAATTGACGAGCAAACGGCCCCGTGAGCTCCATCTTTGGCCGATGAACCTAACCGTTTTGATCAGCTCAGACATGAATCTTATCTTATTGCTGTGCAGCACTTACTAAAAATCCTTCGGTCTTCTTGCTTTGATCTTTGAAATGAACTGTAACGTTTGCTCCCAGCTTCTCTTTCTCCAAGCTTGCGATAGGACGCGCGTCGACGATGATGTGTGATTTTGAAAGAACTCGGCGATATTCGTCGGCAAGTGCTTCATCTCCGTCCGTGTAGATAACCACATCCTCGGCAAGACGTTTGGCCATACGCGCGACAACAATCGTTGGTCCCAGAGCGATGTTCTCTCCAGTTGCGAGAACACCTGCAGACTTTGCCCCACGATCTTCGTAGCCGTGGCAAAAGAGGCATCCGAATCTGGTGAACAGGATGACAGACAATTAGTCTTGGCTTTTGACCCACATTGAAGCATTACCGTATCCTCGGCTGCCGGGAACCATGCGCAGAGAGACTCACATTCCAGTTGCCCAGCAATCGGCATATCCCGGAGTGTCGGGAAAGACATCGCGTGAGCCAGTGGCCAGGACGAGTTTCTTTCCTACCCAGGATCTTCCTGTTGCGTCTTTGGCTGCGAAGTGGCCGGACGCTATACGCTCCACGCTGACTATCTCCGTGTTTTCAAAGTGTATAGTGTCGTACCGATCCAAGATATCCTTTCTAGCTGTTTCGCGATACTCGGATGGGGAGCGGTGATCCCATGTAGCAACGTTGTGCATGTGCGACGCTGCTTCGTTCCTGTATCTACCCGAATCAAACACAACGGCCTGATACAGCTGGCGAGCAAGAGCCGTGGCCACCGACAATCCAGCCGGTCCGCCACCAATAATGAGGCAGTCGATATCCTGCTTACTTGAATCCTGGGCAGACATGATGATTGCTATCATTTGGTGTATTTGACACTATCGCTTTCCAGATGTCCGAATTCAGGGTCAGAAATCCAGAAGAAGAAAAATCAAGTGTCAAGATGCTTTGTTCTGTTTATCGTCGCCTGCGGTGATGTTCGGCCGCCGTTTCACTGGGCTGACACTTCGCATTCCGAATCGGTACCGCGTGAGACTCAGCCGGTTGCCGAACACCACCCGCTGCCTGCCAACTGACCTGGATGCAGCCAACCCGCAATCTGATCAGCTCATCACGTTCCAGATGGCACAGTTTATGACCATAACTTACAGTGGGAATGCGATGTACCACACCAGATATGCCACAGCCGACAAGTCATCCAAAGCCACCTTTCAGCCATATGTGCTTTCTATCACCCCAAAATCTCCTCCATGGCGCGCGGGCCGCTGGGTGCACGGCTCTCCAATCAGTCATCATCACCACCTCAATATGATCAGCGCCTATCTTTCGACAAGCCGCCCCACCCGTTCCACTCTATTTGAGCCGGATCAATATCCAGACTACATCGGCCTTCACTCTATAGCTGATGCTGTATCTGGGATTTGTCGTGTGCGTATAGGTCAATGTGTACCACTGTTTCAATTTCCTGTGGTTGCATCCGCTCGACGATGTAGACATACGTCGTGAGATGAGTAAGAGAAAGCCTCATCTCGGTGACTCAGGCTCTTAAAGAGGATCGTCTTTACAATCGGTGCTCTCTAGAGCTTTTGGGGTATCGGAGCGGACCCTGAGATCAAATCTCTACCCAAGCGTAATGACATCCTGTCAAACCCCGCTTTTCTCATTTGATATTGCGCCACCATAGTGATTCAGTAACAGTTCATGAATCTTATTATCAGTAAGCCGTAGACGCCAAAGATAGCCGAAGGCTGAGGCAAGGGAAGGAACGATTATGGATGTCATTGAACTCCCATCCAGTCACGACAAAGGCAAGGCCTCATAAGCCGGTTACTAGACACTTTGATGGCTTGGTTCTTGATTAGAAGGATGATAATCTAGTACTGCACTTTCTCTGTTGTCTTCGTCGGACTAGGGAAAAGCGAGGTCAAGCAATGGCCTTCTATGTACAGAAGCTATACCGACAATTTTACGTCACGGCGCTATTTCAAGGATGTCTGAGCGCACTATATGAGCGAGTCTAAGTCGTCACTAAGTGCGTGATTCACTACAGCAAGTTCTAGCATCAATGCCGCCGTCTACCCATGCAGGGCGCAGCACCATCACTACCCTCTCATTTGTTCTTTCTGGCCACTTTCACATCCTCCTTGTTTTGCCTCGGGGTACGCTATTGGTACTACTTTTTGGTCTATTATGCTTCACGTTCATGATCTCGGGGATGATACTAGAGGATCTTATTCAAAGGATCGAGCATAACCCAACATACCCGCTTCCGTGGAGTGTCGTTAAGCACTATACACAGGCGGTACGGAGGATTCCACGTTTTGACACAAAACATCGAAACCTAGCCATGGTATTTTTTTTCAGGAGTGATTAGTTGCATAGTTTCCAATTAAACATTTAGTCAATCTACCAACTTCAAATGGCCATACCTAAGTAGTGTTCCGTTTCCGGGACCAAAGATGGGGGCAAATACGTAATCATGCCACCACCACATAGAATTGTAGGCGATATATACCAGAGTACCATACCATTCAGGGCAATGACCATCAGTCTTTATGGAGTTCTTGACTCTTCTCGCGAGAAATTGCTCTACTCTTCTTGCTACGCCGAGAAATAGAAACGCACCGATGCGGAACGATTGCTGGCTGCTCGGAGAGAAGTATGGGAGATCTTGCAAATACGTTCGGTATTTGGCTGGTAAGTTGTGTTCCTTCGCACCTTCTTGGAGCAGTCGCTAATCCCCAACGCACCTTGATCAGCCTTCTATCGATTCAATTGTCAAGCCAGAAATGCTATTCACGCACCAAATAACGGTAACTCGGTGCGGCATTGGGTCGACGTGGGTACTTCGCGACCAGAGTGTGCATGAGGAGTACATATCCGTCGCCATCCAGACAGACCCCTTCAACTACAACCTCATTGTATGCGACGCCGCCCCCCTCTGTCGCAATGACCCGGGCCAGATCTGCCGGCGTTATTCGATACGCGATGCCGTGGGCATCGGGCACGTCATGCGGCTCATCGTCTCGGCCGGACGGCGGAGCACGGGTGTAGCGTGCAATGCTCGCCATGGAAGGCTCCGAGTAGGCAAGGCCAAACACATCAAAAGTCAGGACGTACGATGGGACCTTGACCGTCTTCGTGTCTAGTACGTCTATCCCCCGGCACTTCATCGTGGAAGACTTCATGTTCGACCCATATGCCAGGTACCAAATGGCATCTTGAGGCATGCTGTCTGCCTTATTGATGTCTATCTTGAGAAAACTTTGAAATGGCGTTAGTATGTTACGTACCTATCTCCTCGATAATTTCTCGTCAGCCTCAGGCTACAAACAATGCATATAGTAAGGTACAAAGCCGTAGGTAGCGCCTGTGAGCCAGGTCAATGGGGAATAAAGGCTGCAACAAACGACTAATGAGGTGGAAGAGGACTTGGCGGGGAGGCGAGACTTTGGCCTGGAGCTAGGACTATTTCAACCCACTGGTCTAGTGCGCGGACAAAATTTTGGTGACAATTGATGGTCCACATGTCGGTGCCCGTATTGAATTTTGCTGCGTCCGGTGTACCTCTTTGGGCAACGCAAGATTGGGTGGGGGTAGTAGGCACGTCTTCCAACTGGGCTTCCAAGTCCTCGTGGTCCCTGGAGGTAGTGATGTTAGACCTTTGGTGCATATTGGCATGTTATGGAGAATTATACGAGAGCCGTGCAGTTTCTTATTCGGGTTGATTGTGAACCCTATATACAGTATGCCAGGCCTCCAAGATCAGCCATAAAGATTTCTGGCTACGGCTTGATACTGTGGATGTTACAAAGCCTGGTGAGTTTCACAAGGTGGAAATGATTCAATTGATGATTTGGTAATCCAATAGCTGTGATGTATTTGCATTCTTTTGGAACCAACTTCATCTAGATTATGTGCAATTATGTTGTTTACAAGAAGTAGAAATAAATCTGTAATACAGGCTTTGGTATGGACTTGATCTTCGATCAAAATCCCCTTACTCAAGGGCAGGTTGGTACATGGTTGGTAGGGTTTTCGTTCGTCCAGTCTTTCTACTCCATTTTCAATGAGCTTGTGCAAGTGCAGATGAGCGCGGCAATGATAAAATCATCACACTGCTTATTGACAGGAGTCAGTCGACGCAGTTGGATACGATGATGAGCAGAGATAAGTGCCTTGAAGGGGCCAGGTCTCTGATAAGACTTTTTGTGAAGATAGCTGGGCATGAGGCCATGTCTTCGAAGTTTGCGGCCTCGCTGGGGTCGAGATCTATCGAATCATCCATCGACATCGATCGGCATCGCTCGCTCAGCCGTTCGCCGCCGTAACGCCGTCCCAGCTCATAAAACATAGGCCAAGCGTGCTTAGTTGCGTTATTGCGGCTAGAAGGTGCATCATTAGGAAGAATGTACTCGTGGTTCGGCGATTGTGCCCGAGAGAAGCACCAGCTCGCTGACAATCGGGAAGTCCGAGCTTACAGCCGTGGCCATCAGTTCGTATCGCTTTCCCCGAAGAACGAGCTCCGTGAAACAGAAGACCTCTTTTACGTCACAATGCTCGTTAGGGTACCAAAAGGCATTGACTAACTGGCCGTGCTATGGCGACGTCGTGATGTTGTATCAGGTTCGGCCTAACTTTATCATAGGAGTTAGGTAAAATAAGGTTACGTGAGTTTTTCAATAGCAAGACGCGATCACGTGGTATGCTCCGTGTTAACAGACAAGGCTCTAGCTCTAGTTTTTCTCGTTGCTACGATACTGACAATCATGCTGAGAAAGTTAAAGGATAGGACAACAACTATAAGAAGTGGGAATGCATGAAAATAATGACTGAGAGTGGCATTGTAACTAAGTCAGAAGTCCTAAAATACACTTGACAAAATATTTAGCAATCTTTCCCTTCTCTCATTGATTGATTATGTCTGTATATGTCGCTTCGGTTTTGCGACTTCGTGTCAGAGAGCTCTGGTTTGCTTGATGTTGCCACCTGCCACCTTCCTTAAGTATACCCAAGTTGGTTAGTCACGCGTTCTGCGATTTGTGTTATCGATGGACTCTGGATCAGCTCCAAAACCGAGATCTCAATTCCCGCTTGCGTGGCAATCCAGTTCCGAAGCTCTATAGCAACCAACGAGTCGACTCCGTGCATAGCCAAGTCACCGGACACGTCGACCTCTTGCGTTCCAAACATATCCATGATCTTCTTGGACAGTTCATCAAGTATGACTTGCGACACTTCAGACTGGTTCATGTCGCCAGAAATGAGGTTTTGAAGCTTGCTAACGCTCGTCTTCGAAGATGTTGAGGCATTGCTGCGCTCAGACGCTGACCGATCTCGAGGACGCATCGCAGCGAAGCGTTTGTCTTGCAACCAGCCCGAGCCCCCGGACTCAGCAATAGAGTCAAACTGGATAGCAGTCACAACTTGATCCACGCCGTGAGTGCCAATCACGCTGTCGAGTATGTTGTGAACTTCACCTTCTTGTAGCCTACCCACACCGCTCTGCGCCAGCCTATCCGAGATGCGGTGATTGCCTGCTACAAAGCCCACAGACTGGACAGCACCAAGATCAATGCATGTTGATGGGAGGCCTTTGGATTTTCGGAAGCGAGCAAGGGCATCTTGATAAGCTCCTGCGGCGGTGTAGTTAGCCTGAGCTGGGGACCCCGTCACGCCGAGCACGGAGGATAGCATGATAAAGAAGTCAACATCGAGGCAGAGTTGATGCAGATTCCAGCTTCCCATGACCTTTGCCCTTGTGGCCATGATGAAGTCTTCTGCTGTCATCTGTTCAAAAACCGTATCCTGCAGATGTTAGCATGTTCCACTATCTTCATTCATTATGCTATTTCTTACCCGAAGTACCATCGCACTCTGTATGATGCCACACACAGAAGGCATGTCTGCGCAGCTGGCTAGAGCCGACTCGAGACTATCTTTGTCCGAGACATCGCATGGAACAGCACGTACGTTGACGTTCAGCTCTATTAGAAATTTGTCCAGTTTCGCGTTTCGAGACAAGACGATGATATGCTGAGCACCGCGATCTACGATCCATTCGCATATTGATCTTCCAATGCCTCCCATGCCGCCGGCAATGACATACGATCCATGTCGATGAATGGCTGGTCGAGCAGGCCCGAATTTGACCTACAAATTATTAGTTTGACAACATCACATAAACATGATGTCTGCTTGCCAGTCTTACCGGAACCAAATCAGACTCATTGACAGTAATGACAATCTTCCCGAGGTGCTGTCCTGTCTGCATGAAGCGGAAAGCTTCCTTAACAGATGATATAGGATATACCGTGACAGGTTGCGGCGCAGTGATGAATCCTCCCTCGAGAAGTCGAAGGACTTCTTTCATCGCTCGGCCTACGGCTGCCTGCCTGCGAGATTCCCAGGATATCAGGTCAACAGAGAAGAATGTCGTATTTCTTCGGAAAGCTGCCATGTCAAGCTGGCTGTTCTCTTCAAAGTCTCGCTTCCCCAATTCAACAAATCGTCCAAAATCTGCCAACACGTTGAAGGTCTCTTGCAAGAGCGAGCCCGCCAAAGCATTGAGCACGACGTCGACACCCTTTCCATGTGTCCTTTCCATAATAGCAGAAGAGAACGACGCATCGCGACTGGAAAATATTTTCCTCGCATCAATGGCGAACTCTTCGATGATGAAGTCTCGTTTCTTCTGACTGCCGACAGTGACATATATGTCTGCCCCTATTTTCTGACAAAGCCTGATTGCAGCCTGTCCTAGCCCACCAGCAGCTGAGTGGATCAACACTGACTCCCCCTTTTGGAGTTTGGCAACTTCGAATAGGGAAATATACGCAGTGGTGAATGCGACGGGAACAGCTGCCGCAGTTTCAAATGTTATATTATCAGAAATTTTTGCGACACCGGACCAGTGCGTTTGAGGGCGCGTTGTCCAATGGTCTTGAATTAATGCACACACTCGGTCGCCGACTTTGAGACCCTGCATGGCAGCATTTCTTCCAAGTCTACTAATGATCCCAGAACACTCCGAGGCTTTCAAAGTGTCAATGCCAATCTGGCCCATAGCCACCATTATGTCGCGAAAGTTGAGCCCAAAAGCTCGAGGCTCCAGTTCCACGCAGTCAGATAAGATCTCTTCGGAAAGTTCAGAGTCTTTAATGAACGTTAATGTGTCCAAAAGGCCCTGGGACTCAATATGGAGCCGTACCGGTGCTACTGTCTGAGAAAAAGCCCTCGTGCTAGTCTCTGTCGACGAGCCTCTCGCACGGTGGAAAGCCTCGACCAAACTTTGATTCCTGAACAATCTAGGAATATGGATGAATCCTTGACGCTCACAATACTCCATATCGCGGTCATGCGAATACGTAGAGGTGCCACTGAAGGATTTGGAAAAGACTTGAACAATAGCCGCCGCTGTCTCAGGCGTCCATGGGAGCCGCTGTGGGTCAACGTCAAGGGTGATGTACCTTTTCTGTTGATACTCGTGTTTCAAAGTTCGAAGCAATCCGTGACTGAGAGCTGCTTCGGGATACTCAGATTCCATGACACCACCTCGAGTAACCCACAATACGCCTTCACTGTCAATAAGCATGGCCTTCAGGGCTGCAAAACGACTCTCGTTCGGATTCATCAAAGTGCTGGTATGCTCAAGATCTCCAAGAAAGATGCAGTATTTTCCTTGAACACGCGCAGAGTTCAATGACTCGATGGCGGGCGGAGATCCACACAAGATGGTAAAAGATGCTTGAATCTCATGTTGCCATGTAATTGGAGGTGATTGATCTAAAGTGACAAGCAATATATCGGAGGAAAAGACAGGTGGGTCGCTATTTACCGTTGTGAGGATGACACTAAAGTTGTAGAACTCTTCGTCTTCACAATCCCTGAGCTCGTGGTCAATTCCAGTAAAGCCTGTCATGTTGAGTAACCCGTTCCAAGAGGAAGTTGTCAACGAAGGAGAGCTCTTGCGTTCTTCTTCCTCGCCTTGATGCACATTGTTAGCCATATGCCGTATAATGCTGCGCAAGGGAGAATTATGTCATACTCAACCACCATCCCGGCAATAAGCCAAAGGAAAGAAAGACATCCAATGAGTCTTGAGTCGTCTCAATGAGAACCAACCTGCCACCTAGTTTCAGCAGGCGACGAACGTTCGTCATGGTATTCTGCATATTTCTAGTCGCGTGAAGAACCTAGCACGCAATGATAATGTCGTACGACCGCTGTTCAAAGCCTTGCTTACAAGGATCATTCTCGATGTCAAGCTTCCGGAAAGCCATAAGGTGCTGCCAAGGTTCGAAACGCCTACGAGCTGCCTCAAAGAACCCCGGGGAAACATCTGTGAAGTCATAATGATCGAACTGAACTCCCTCTGCGTCCTCGCATCCAAGAGCATTGAGCACAGCTTGGGTGCCACCACCAGTGCCAGCACCGATTTCCAAGATGTTAGCTCGGGGGTTCTGGTGTGCTAGAAGCTTGACCAATTGTGCCATCTGGTGTGTCGACCGGTCAAACTTGAGAACATTATTATAATAACGATAGAGTAATCCATCTTCAAGCATCAACTCCAGTGTCGTTGTTTCCCCCTTGAGGATTTCTGGAATTCTAGGGCCTACTCGTTGCAGCATTTCGCCGTTGACGCTACTGGCGGCTACGTCTTTCAGCAATTCGAGCCTCTCTGTTGTTGGTTTATTTAGCCAGATCAAACTGTCTTTGGCGAGTCTATTATCGGCGGCAAGGTGTATCTGCGTCTTCATCCACTGGTAGTGCTTGGCATGATGCCACTCCATTTTCGTGAGGTCGTCATCAGTCAGAGCCGTAAGGGCATCCTGAATATAGAATATCACAGCCTGTCTTAATTTCATCATCATACTCACCTCCTCAGCCTGAATAGTATACTTGAGGTAATCTAAGGCGTGAGCAGGTAAGGGAAAAGACAGATCTAACCCCCACCGGAAGGTGCTGTACAATTGCGAGTCACTATTACCGTTGGGGCTTAGGTCGCCACTACCACCATTAAGACTTTGACAAGTCAAGCCATGAACCTCTAACACGGCATTTGAAGATGAAGAGGCGTCGAAAACTGTCAAATCAGTGGAGAAGCGACGCACATTCTGTGGTGTTCGACTTTCGACGTGTGTCTCAAAAGAATGGCCAGCTAAGCTGCTGATGTGACTTTCGACGACAAGACGCTCGATTGAATGAGGCAAAAAGGGCGTTGTGAGATGCGAACCCAAGCCCGGCAGAACAGTATAAGCGCTCTGGATTATGGAGTCAAGAGTTGTCGGGTGGATTGTATAGTCGCTCTCGTGTCTCGTGGGCATGGTGGTCGAAACATTTACAATGGAGAACGTAGCGACACTTCCATACCGGTTGCCAACGACCTTATCCAAATTCCTGAATGTGCCTCCGTGATTGATGCCGACAGAGCGCATTGCAGTCCAAATGTCTTCCGGGTCAACTTGTTTCGTGTACGCTTTAGTGTTCGACCGCCGCTTCGCCAGATTGAGTTTGACTGGAGTAGCGGAGTTATAACTGTGAGGACTTGGCTGGCTCTGGATGACTTGTATCAAACCCTGGCAGTGTTGGGTCCAACGATTGTTCTCACAAACGGAGTAAACAGAAAACTCCTGCCATCCTCTAGTGCCCAGGGAGCGTTCGTTGCATGGACGCATTGTGAGTTGGACTTCACGCCCTTGCGAATCATCAGGAATGATTAAGGCACTCATGAACTGAATGCTTTTCAGCGAGTAGCCAATGATGTTCCCTGAAAAAGCTTTCCGCTGACCAAGGTACTTCGCTCCTTCAATGGCCATGCAAATGTATGCCGCGCCGGGGAAAACAATGTTTGGACCTACCATGTGATCCCGAAGCCAGGGCAGGTTGGAAGTGCGTAATATATTCCGCCAAGTTGGACAATATGAGTTGGCAATTGATTGATAGGAGCCAAGGATGTCGTGAATGGTGTCGCTTCTATTCCGCCAGGCTTTATTCACTCGTGACTCGAGCCAGAATCGAGTGGAATGGTTCCAAGGGTAGTGAGGCAAGTCACAGAGTACTTGGACATCATTGAACCCACTTGGAAAATTGACGGCTCTCAGATTAACTGGGAAGCCTCTGCGAAGAAGATCGCAAGCGAGCGCCTGCATCGTATATACGGCGCTTTTCTTTCGTACAAGGCAGTTCAGATACGATATCGGAATCCCTTCAAATTCCGGCAATGTCAGAAGATCTTGTATGGGTCCGCCGAGTGATCCGTGTGGGCCAACTTCGATGACAGCATCGACCTGCGAAGTAGGGGTAAGTCCCCCTACTTCGTTGGTGATGCACATATTTCGAAACGAGGACTCGAATTCAACGACTCCAAGCATATTAGAATTCCAATAGGATGGCTTCGCGAGTGCGCTCAGATCTTGTAATCGATCGCCTGTCATGGAAGATGAAAAGATCACCCTTGTACCGGAATGCTGCTTCTCGCATGAATACAGCAAAGGCTCGAGTTCTGCCATGTAAGTTGCCGATATGGGTGACATGTGGTCAGAATGAAATGCACCATTGATTCGCAATCTTCTGCAAAAAACCCCGTCAGCGGCTAGGAGCTGCTCCAATTCCTCGATCGCTGAAATGTCGCCTGATGCAGTAACACTATTCTGGCTGTTGACGCATGCCACCGTTACCTTGCCTGCTGTGACTAGGGACATGTATGATCCAGCGTCTTTCCGTCCCAGGCCTACAGCAAGCATTCCACCCTTGCCAATGATCTTATCTGTCTTGGTAGAAAGTGCACCCCGAAGATAGGGTATCGCGATAGCGGCGCGAGCGTCTAGCGCGCCAGCAGCATACGCGGCAGCTACCTCACCACTCGAGTGACCAGTAACAGCGGTGGGGCTTATTCCCCAGGACCGGAGCAGGTCCACGAGTGCAATTTGAATCGCACTACACATCGGCAGACTATACACAAGGTTGTGGATATTAGATGTTTCGTCATCTCGAGAGAGCTCGTCTGTACCATAGCAGTCAGCACACCCGAGACCCCAAATCCAATCAGTGCTTACCTATTAGCGACCATTGGGCACCAAGGTCTCTTATATAACCATCCAAGGCCTCGATGCTC